ATGTGCTTATTTTATTCCCTGTAATATTCTTAATGAATCTTGCTCTTACCTCTTTTCATTTGATGTTAATCATTTGCTCAGCTGGTTTTGTTAGTTTGCTTGTGTGATTTTTGGTATACCACTACAATTTTATAGTGTATGTGCTGAAGTGTAATGCAAATGAATTCGTTGCTAGTTACCTCAGGTTGATGTCTCAAGTTACTTACCTTATCCAAGTGAAAGTACAAGTACAATTACCAGAATTACAGTACAACCACTGGTACAAGTACTAGTGATGCACAAGACGTACAAGAATGTGATATTATTTGTGTTGAAGATGGTCAGGTAATCAACAGTTAATAATGCAATGTCTTGTAATTATAGATTTCCTATATTTTGCATGACAAGCTCAATCACTGAACCAGTAAGCATTAAGATCTACTTCTCAGTGAGTGCACAATACCTACTGTCATCCTAGAGAAGATGGCTAAAGCCAAAACTTGCAGAATTTTAATTTCTTGATTTACTTATTTGCTCCCTCAGAAAGGTATCCAGTCAACTCGCCGATGAACCAACTTGCCGACGCCAACACCGACGTATAAAATTGAGTAGAGACGTCGGCGAGTTGGTCCTAAATCCAATACAACTTATTAGAAGTTAAACATACAGAAAAGTAAACGATATTTAGAAAAATGAGTACCATCTGTATGGACAGTGTGTAGCAATGGCATTGCTACAAGGTTCACCAGGTCCTCAAATTTTTTCCAGAGCTGTAACAGAATACATTTTGTTCGGAGATTTGAACCAGGTACACCCATCAGGAAGTGAAGTTCCTGATTATGAAGTAAGAATGAAGTTAGGAGAAGTTGAAGCAATCACCAACCCTGAAATGTTTGTACAGGAGGCATCTTTCAATTTCCCAGAGTTATTTTCTGCTGGATATTGTAAATTAGTTGTCAATGTTCAAGATAAAGAAGAATTGGTAAGATATGTGGCTCTTCACTATGCAGTTTCATGCTGTCAAGCAGAGTTGGATCAGTTTATAAAGGGTCTGGATTTGCATGGAGTTCTCAATCTCTTACGTGCACATCCCAATCAAGCAAAGAGAGTACTACAAGGCAATCTGAAGTTGCTAAGTGCAGAACTGATTGATGAGATTTTTCAACCTGTCCTTTCTCCCTTGTAAGAAACATCAGGAGAGACCATGAAGAGGCAATTGTAGTAAATTTTAACCATTTTTTAGAAGAAGTAGAGAATGGACTTGTTCATTATGTTGGTGACAAGAATGACTTGCTTTTAACCCTTGGAAGTATTCTTAGCTTCATTACTTGGGCAAAAAACATCCCTGCAGTGGGTTTCAGCACTGCTCCTAAAATTTTCTTTGATCATGAAGCACCAGTAGGAAGAAAGATGACAGCAAATACCTGTGCTAATGTTATAACTTTTCCTGTTATTAACATTTACATGGAGTATGAGTTGTTCAAAAATGAAATGATCATCTGCATTCAAGACTGTCAGGGTTTTGGAATGGTGTAAAGGAGCTGTGGTCTTCATAAACCTGCAAAACTGACACTAGATCTTTGTCATTCATGTAACAGGGCAGCCATATTAGTGTACCAACAGTAACTGTTTTACATATTTAAGATCAAACCATGGAGTTAAATTACTGGAGGATAGAAAAGGTATTGTTAACCCTTTAACTCCCAAGATCTCATTAGTAATTCTCCTTACTGTCTGCCATATATTTCTTGTGATGTTAGTTTGGAGAATTTGGTATTGGATCAACTAATAATCCCCTTTTTAATACTTTCCTTTATTCTCATCACTTGTCTGCTTGATATTGTATTGATATTGTGATAAGGAATTTTGTCTTGGTCACTTGTGGGAGTTAAAGGGTTAAGGTACACCAGTGTTACTGTTGAAAATGGTGGATTAAAAGAAAAGTTATGGGAGAGGGATAAGGGACTTGAACTATTAAGAGGTTGTTCACACTAGAAGTATGAGCACATGCTACAAACACTGATTCAGAAGTACAGTGCTCATTTGTCAAATTTGCTTGTCTGTTTGATGGACATATGAAAAACAAGTTCACCATTAAGAAAAAATATTTTTGTTGGATTATTATCTCTTAAGTAAAAATCTTTAGGAAGTGATACATTTTACATTTTGATATATTCCTGTTATTGTTATAGAAATAATAGATGATTTCTAAATGCTGATTTAAATTCACTCTGCTGAAAGATTTGTATGTGTTAGTCACATGCTCACTTCATTACAGTTACATGGGTATTGCATGCTAGTAAATTTAAGAGATGATGGGCTAAACTTCAGAATACCTGGCCACTTTGGTCCACCTCACTAACATGTGTTGGGAGGCTTTGAAGATTGAGGCATAACACAATAGACACTATTCTTATTCAATGACATGTAAATGAGTGGCTGGGTATTCTGAAGTTGCTCCAGATGATATATTAAACACCATACCTTATTCTCATAATAACAGTACAATCAATGTCAATTATGAAATCAATTTCAATAACATTCAGTTTGATACACTGGTTTTCCTAAATCTGGGAAACAAACTTTTTATAGGTGCCAAATGACAACCAAGGAATGCAACAGAATCAGGGTGGACAATGTGTACCTCACATCTTTTTCTTGGGTTTATGAAAATCATTCTTACAGATAATGAATGTACTTTCAGACATTTCCAGTTCATTATGTCAAGCATTGGATCAAGGTTGTTATAGGTGAATAAAATATTGGAACAAATCAAAAGCATCTTTTACATTGGTTGGATAATTCTTGTTTGCTATAACATATTCAAAATATTCTGCATATTCTTCTGTATGTTGTGGAAGTTCACATTTACTGGTCCATTTCATCTACTTGAGCTTGTGTTACAGGTATGAGACAATCAGTAGCTCCTGAATACCCAGGTAAAAAGAACAAGACATCTGGCACTCCTGAGACTGTGTCATGCCTTGAATGCCTTATATGATAGCTATTCCAGTGATCTTTAACTTTATCAAGATCAGCCTAGATTACTTTGGCAAAGCAAAACCACAAACATTCCAATTGAAAAGTGTCAACCAAATTGAGTAACCCAGACTCAGACATATCCTTGAAAAAGGAAATCCACCAGCTAGAGTTGCTGCGTTTCAGGAAAGACCACCAACCTTCAATCCGTTGGTTTGCTGGAGACGAGCCATACCTGTGGGCCTTTTCTGCAGCATATTCATCTTCATGTGTCGCTCTAAGACTACATTGTGTGGCTGCCAAGGTCACCTTTTCTGTTCCACAATCTGATCTTACAATCCTTAGACAACCTTTCAAACTTTGAACTGTGTCTAAATAAAGCTTTGCTGGAACCCTTGGATCATTATTAGATTTCACCACTTCAAGCCAAAGAATTCTCCTGCTATACTCACAGATACGAACATGAATGGGAAATCCATATGGCTTGAGCTTGTCATATCCTGAAGATAAATGGTAGAATGAATCAATGGGTTTTTTGAAAAAACCAGGGTGGCTTAGGGTAAGAGCAAAATACTTTTTTTAACATATAGGACACAGCAAATCACATTGATTTTTTTTTTACGCTGCAATACAAAGTCTATTAAATTTATATTACTACGTTTTTAAGGAATCGAAAGCTTTCTACTCTACCAATAACCTAAATAAAATGAAATAACTAAAAAACTTATTAGCTATAATGCGTAGTTCTTCCTATTAGATTTCTGATATAAAATTATCACTTGCTGGTAGACTACTTACCGTCTACATGCCAGCAAAAATTTGGTCCCGGAGATAGATTGTTTCGTCTCGTCAAACGTCTGGCTCTTCTGCCTTGCACGCCATCTGGATCGATTTTTTTCATCCAACGGGCAACCAAGGAACGAGGGACATGCACATGGTGTCTTAAATGCAAGGCATGCCAGATATTTCTGTAACCTGCAAGTCTTCCTGCACCTTCGGTTTCTCTTCTAATAAGTAATTCAATCTCGGATTTGTCCATTTCTGTTTTTCCTTTTCTTTTCAGTCCCAGATCAATCAGCCTTCTTTTAAGTGTTCTCAGGTGCATCTTGTAGCCGTTCTTCTCGAGTAAATGAACAATAACATCGTAACGGTAACCGCGATGGAACATTTCTGTTATTAAATCATTTGCTGACGAATCACCACTCATCTCAGATTTTGGCTCATCTGCTTTTTCATTAAGCTCTTTACCACAAGAATTACAAAAGTTCGCGGCTATGGAGAGAACTTCCGCAGCGCAATGGGTACAAAACATCTTTACTCGTGCTAGTCATTACTGCATCGCCATTCCCGCCATTATATTAAACAACTCGTGCCAGTCTCTTCCGACTACTGCGCCCACAGAGGTTTTTAGTTTTTGTTTGCAGCAACTTTAACTTATTTGCAGCAACTTTTATTTGTTTGAAGTAATAACATTTATTTTTTTGCAGCAGTATTTATTAATTTGTCGTAATGGCCGTTTTTATGCTAGAGACGTCAAAGTTGTCTAAGCCGTCTCGAGACAACTTTAACGTCAAGTATAAAAATAGCACTTGCGGGAGTGCACGTGGTTTCAGCTATAGTAAGTAAAGATTTTAATATGGGAATTAGTGCATGAAGTTGAAGTCAACACAGGTCAGATGTTTGTCAAATAATCAAATGGAAAAGGGTTTGATGTGAGCACAAGGACAAAGATGGGAAAATGAATGTGGATTTTCGTTAAAAAAAAAACAAATAAAAAAGAATGGTAGAGGGAAATGTTTGTCTGACAGTGAAGGTAAAGTGTTGTGACCTAAGGTTGTTGCTTGGGTTGAAAATTTGATAAATATTATTTATATTATTCGTGTTCAGCAAAATTTGGGGCAATGTCTTGTTGGCATTTGAAGACTTTATATTAAAGAATGATGAAGTGCTAAAGATCTTTCCTGGATCACACTTCAGTGAACAAAGATAATGAACCAAGGTTGAAGCTTGAAAGGCTGTAACACTATTTAGTTGTAAAGAAATAACAGTAACAGTTTATTCAAGTCATCTTTGCATATTTGTAGATACAAAGAGGTTGTTTTGTTTTAACTACAATATAAAGTGAGGCTAATGTAACGCTTTAATTGTGTGGATTTAAGTAATTATCTTTGGCTCACAATTCGACTTTGACTGCTTTCGACCTGTAATGTACTCTAAGGAATGTAAATGCTTTTTAACAAAATCAACATGAACATTTGTTAACTGTTCACATGAGTCCAGTATAAATAAGGTTATGAAAAACTGCATCCAGTTTTTTTTTAACCCCAAGATAACTAAACAGAACTGAAGTTGTGCATTCACTGGCAATTTAAGCAATGTAAATGCCTTTTATAAAAAAAAACTGCATTCATTTTTTTAAACTGCAACATAAGAAAACACAATCTTGTGCATCGTCTGGCGATTTACATAATTCATGGTTTGAAATTAGATAGATGTTCTGCTTGTAGATGCAATGATTGCATTTTTGAAATTATTAACTACAAACACAACTACACTACTTTTGGCGTGTACTAAAACCAGGAACACTGTTGTAGCGGAACAACTTAGAAGCGGCTGGAACACCCTTTAAAAAATCCTAACCACCAAAAACAGTAAATGCAAACCATAGCTGCTAATCGCTCACCACTAACCGTCAATTCCAACCCTGATTCTAACTGTTCACTAACATTGTTAGTGGATGTTCCGGTGTTCTAGTTTTAGTAGATACCACTATTTGCCACACCTCTGAATATGCACAGTTTCACATTCTTGTAACAAATTGACGAGTGTTGCCTTTTTTTGCTGAACTCAATGTGAAAAACAATAGTCGTGAGTTTCACAGAAAATAATCAATTAAACATTATTAATATCAGAATATTTGTGAACTCTCAGTTCTTACTGCACAAGTAACATTTTCTCTTTCAATATATGACCAAAAAGCCTCCTCCTGCCCCTCAGGGTGTTACAGTTGACTGGTGATTAGGGGCAGGTAGAAATTAGGCTATGATTTTTGCCTTTTTGTCAACTATTATGGTGTGTTGACCAGATTTCAAGAGGAGGAATTTAAGTTCTGCTGGTTCTATTTGTGTCAAAGATTTAGGAGATTTTACATTCTTGAGAAAACTCTCGATGCCATCATTGAAACATGTATAGGTATCTAATTCTTGAGTAGTAGTTTTAACAATTATTTGTGCCGCCATCTTTGTGTTACAGAAAGATGTTAGTGTTGTGATGTTACAATTGGTACAGGTTATTTCTTCTTCATCTGGTGCCGGTTGCTCTTTAGTTGGAAATGTGTGGTTGCAGGCCAAGCAAGATGGTGACTTCTTTATGTTTACTCCTACCACTTTCACTTTGAGGAGATTATTCTTGATTTCTGGTGCGTCAACATTGATATTCTGAATATCATCTATTTCTTCAACTGTTGTGGATTCATTGGTGTTCAGATATTTCTCATCATCGAAAATGCGCACAGTTACATTTTTGAAATGGTAGGACTTTCCTCTTGCCACTTGATTTATTGTGTTCTCCCATAACACCAACTTAGCACATCCAGTTTCATCAGCCACTAGTGTGTCACACTTGTATCTGGTTTTTGTGTCTTGAACAATGGGATTCTTATTCTCTTCTTTGATAATGACTTTGACCTTAAGGTCTACAGTGGTATAGATGTTGGCTTGAAGTGCTTGACTGACTGCATGTAAATGATTGTCAAGATTCTCATTGAAGTTGAACTCTAGCTCAGTTGGCATTATTTTAGCACTCTTAGGAACTGTGTACTCTTCTAAGTCGCTGTTAAGTCGTTTTTTAGGGTTCAAGTTGGCTTCTATTTTAACTGGTGATCTTTTTTCATATGCAGTTAGAAGAACGCTCCGTTTTGGTGGTGAAAAACAAACAAGACGAACAGTTTTATCGTCAGACGTCTGGAGCTTGAGGTCAAAGTAATTTGTTGTTCCATTTGATGCAGTCTTGATTTTACTTAAGCCATGCATATATCCTTCAAGAGCTGAAAATTGAAAGTTAAGCAGTTATTAGATTGGAAAAGAAGTATGCATTCAATTACTTTGAAGCATTAGTGATATTAAGTCTCTGCCCAGAGTATGCTATGTGAGACTAGAATGCAATCTCACTTAGTGAAATAATTAGCAAAACCTTCATTACTGGAACTGCTATTGTATAGTGGTCTTCACTAAGTATCAAACTAAGTGTAAGACTGACATGGACTTTTGAAGTTACCAGTACTAGTTTAGAATTCATTTAAATTTGAATAAGTACTAAATACTGTAAGTATTACATAAAAGTGCTACTGTGGTCCAGAGTAACCGGTATGTAGTTGTTTGTTAGGCAAAAAAGTATTAAATGAAATACTGTGGTTACTTACATGTAAATTTGGACTCTTGATAATTTTTTCTGGAAAAGAGGAGAATAGGCACATGTAAATTATCTTATAATGATTGAAAAACAAGACTCCATATAAACATCTTACACATGAAAAAAAAAAAAACATTGTTAAAGGTATACTTACTTTGGTGATGAGTCCGATGACTGAGACATGTTGGCAGTATCTCTATTGATCTGTTAAGCTAAAATAATTAACAATATAATTATGTGCTTTTAGTTGCTTAGAGTTAGTTTGATTGTTTTGAATGCTATGTTGGCCACTATGGGAACTTAAGGAGCCAATTTATTATTTAGCTGAAGCAGCTAATTACTGCACAAATTCCTTTATGATCAGAGAAATGTTTCTAATATATTGACATTCACATGTGTTTCAGGCAAATTTGTATATACATGATCAATACAAGTCTTATTATCTGTTGTATAACAGGACACTAGCTTTCTATAGTTGTTATCCTTGACAAAGAGATCATAAAGTGGTCTTCGTTGATATTCATTGAGCCAATTGATATTGAAGTCTCCAATAAACACATTAAACTTGGTTGAAGATAGCACGAGTGTTTGCCTTAGAGCAGTGCAGAATTGACTAACTGGCACTCTAGGAGAGCGGTATATTCCTATAATTGTTATATGAGGAATAACCATTAATCTGATTGCAATTATTTCTATTCCACTTCTATTACAGCAGAATGGATAGCCAGGGTAATAATCAATGCGACTATACACTGCTGTCCCTCCATATGGACGACCATTATCATTACGAATATCATCATTTCTAAATAAACTACACTGTCCAATTTGATACATGGTATTGCTATCAGCATTACTGAAACGTGTTTCAGAAAAAATATTGATGTCTGTTTTTAGGTAGTTTAAGTCTGCACGCACATCATCAATATGTTTATGCAAAGAACGTGCATTCAAGAAACACACTTTTATAGCTCTCTCATCAGCATTGTAGACAGGTGAAATGCATAGTTCAAGTTTGCCCTCTGTTCTAAGATATTTCATGTTTCTCAACTTCTGAGCTAACAGTTATTTTGTCTTCACTGAGCTCAGTGATGTACAGTCCCTCTATATTTGTAACTCTGCTGAGCCCAACATAATGCATATGAGGAATTGCTCTTCGTCTAGTTCCAAAGTTAACTACAACTCTGGTTTCTGTGTCACCTTGTGATCTATGAATTGTTTTGGCAGCATTAGGTCTAAGTGGAAACTGTTTTCTTACAACTTGAACAGTTCGATTTTTACCAAATGCAAACACTGCGGTAACAGGTTTGATAGATGTCCAAGTAGGCTCGATGCCTTGGGTATACATTGTCTGTTATCATGTCTGGTTTTTCTACCTACATCAGCATGGTCAAATTGGACCCATATGACACCAGATGGTCTGTCTGGTGCATGAAGTTGAATCAGTTTAATTACATTACTAGCACCGTTTGTCATGCCATCATCAATTCTTGTATTCAGTGATATTTCTGTTGTTTCTTCAACTGCAAGATTTAGATTGTAATGCAGCTGTTTAGTGTTTTTTGGCTCCAGGTTAGGTATTTGCTTCATTATTTTATCTCTTAGTTCAGTAGATGTAGCTCCGATGACACTGTCATGTGCTTTAATTGTATACTTAGTACCAGATATGCTACGGTGTGCTCTATCATTAAACTTATTTACTTTTTCATTCTCTATAAAAAGATGTGGTGCATCAAGTGGATAGTTACTATTGTTGGCTTCTATTATTCTTTGTTTTAAGTTAACAATATCTTGTTCTGTATGCTTTCCCTCTCTAAGTCTGTTCAACATCTCAGCAAACTCTTTGCTTTCTCGTTGTCTCATTATTTCATCGAGTTCAAACATTTTAAAAAGTTCATTCCAAAGATTGGGTGCAAGAATGGCATATTCTGAGTGATTCATATCTTTGAATATGTAACTATCCATGACTGGTGGTAGTTGAAACAAGTCGCCAACGGCTATAATACTAACACCTCCAAAGAGTTTTGAGCTACCCTTAATATCCTTGAGGCAGTTGTAAATTTGGATATTAAAAATTGCATTACCCACCATTGATATTTCATCTAAAAATATCAGTTTTACTCCACCAATTTGACATCTCAATGTATTCAGTCTACTTGAATCGAGAGATTTGTAGTTCTTTAATGATTGAGATGCAGGTATTGCAAGAGCACTATGTATTGTATTGCCATTGATGTTATAAGCTGCTTTGCCAGTAGGTGCCAACAACAATACTTTTATTTCTGTAAAATCAACACCAGCTCTGGTATTATAATACTTTAATGCTGCCTGATATAGAGCTTTGGTAAGGTGTGTTTTGCCAACACCTGCACCCCCACTAAGAAAGCAGTAGAACGGTTCATCAGTTGTTTTTATAAGATGTAAAACATGGTAAAATAATTCTTTTTTGTTTCTTATTCAACATCTGTACGAGGTGTCTATATTCATTATCTTCTAACTCATTCAATATTAGTGGCTCAGAATTTGAGTCAATAGAGGGAATGCCAATGTCATCTGCAAAATTGTAGTTTTCATTGAAGTCAGGATGTAAATCTCTACTACCTTCAGCTTCATCTTGGAGCTCAACACTTTGAGT